GAGCTTTAAATAAAGGTGCCTTCCCATCCAAACCCTTCTGGGATTCCACGATTCTGTGAGCAGCCCCAGGCAGAAGGGCTAAATTTCCATTGTGGTTCGAAAATGCTGCTGCAAGAACACGAAGAGAGATTTCAAATACTGTTCAAGTGGCACAACCACATCAAAAATTACCTGACCCTAACCCTAACCCTAACCCTGACCCTAACCCTAACCCCTAACCCTAACCCTAACCCCTAACCCTAACCCCTAACCCTAACCCTTTTGGGAGTCCCGAGTAGAATTTTGGGGGTCCTGGGGGGAGTTTTGGATTCTTGAAGGGAATTTTGAGGGTGTCGGGGTGTTTTTGGGGTCCTAGGTGGAATTTCAGGTGTTCTGGCGATAATTTTGGGGGCCCCAGGTGAATTTCGGGGTCCCGGGGTTTTTTTTGGTGGTCTCGGGGCTGTTTCTGGGGGATCCCGCTGGGTATTTTTGGGGGTCCCGGGAGTGTTTCTGGGGTCCCCCCTCACCAGTCTCTGGCCGGTTCCACTCCCCGGTTCCCGGTCAGCGCCAGCGCCTCCGCCCTGCGGGACCGGAGGGCTCCCGGTTATTTTTGGGGGGGGTCCCGGGAGGGTTCTGAGGGGTCCCGGACAGCGGCCGGCGAGGGACAAAAAGGCACCAAGCGTTCTGGTACAGACGGCGGCTGGTGAGGGACAAATATCTTCAAAGCGTTCTGGTACGGACGGCGGCAGCCCCCCATCATTCACAGACACTGCCCCGCTCGCTGCTCGCTGCCGCCCTCGCCCCTCCCGCCCCGTCTTGGCAGTTTTGGGGTCTCGCTGGCTGCGGGGCTGCAGTACCGCCCTCTGTCCACAAGGGGGCAGCACTTGTCAAGCGAGTCCGCGACAAGATGGCGGCCCGTGGGGCCCTTGATGGTGACAGGCGTTTCTGCTGATGCCTGTCGGCTCCCGCCAAAAACCCGCACGCTCGCGGCGCTGCTGACCCCACAGCCCGTGTGCACGGCACCGGACCCGCCGCGGAAAACCCCGTCGCGGGGCGTCGGCGGTGCGGGCAATTCAGGCAGTGTAAAAAACAGACACGGGTCCTCGAATTTCAACGTCCTCGTTTTCGCACCCTCTCGAGAAGGTCAAGAGAGTCCGCGCCACGCCACTCCCAAGATGGCGGCCGCGGGCGGCGGGCTGCAGTACCGCTCTCTGCCCACAAGGAGGCAGCACTGCGCCGTCAGCAGCAAATGCCCCAAAGCATCCGCGCGGACAAGAACGGAACAAAAAACCTGCCTCCGACCCGATAGGAACCGAAAGAAAAAACCTTTCCAATTGCATTTCAATCTATTTTATTTTTATATTTT